CACTTTATGCATGTTATCTTTTTCACCCCCATGATACTAGCAATAACGACAACAACAAGAATAATGACTGATAATGCTCACTCTATGCCAAGCACTGTCAAGCATTTCAGGTACATTAACTTAATCTCCACAATAAACCTAGGAGTAGGTATCATGTTTACAGAAATGGGAACTGAGGCACAGAGATGTTAAGTATCTTTATAAAACTCCATGTTAGGAGGTGACAGAGTCTGGATTTGAACCCAGGCTCCGAAGTCTCTGGTCTTAAGCACTATGCATATGGCTACATATTATCTCCTTTATTAAAGAGGGCACTGATGTTCAGGGACACTGATTTTTAAAAAAATCTCAGAGATGGCAAGTAGCAGAACGAAAACGTTAACCTCTGTCTTTCCTTAAAGTTGTACTCTTGCCATTACATGAAACTGGCCTGACCTTAGCATTTAAGACCACGTATGTAGAAATAACTATGCATAAGACAGGGAGTATCTAGTTTTTTAGAGGCCCTAGGAATGCATAGGAAATAAATGGCCTTCAAGAACCCGTCGCCTTCTCATTTTAACTCCTCCCTGGGGATCCTGCCACACCGGACATCAAAGTAAGTGACTGACCCGAGGATTTGCTTTGATTCACTTGATTTTTATCAAAAGAGGTGGAAGGAAGAACTTCACAGCTAGGCTTAAATGAGAATTCAGGTTTCCTTGCTCGTTCATTCATTATTCAACAAACCTCCATTGACCGCCCACCACATGCAAGCCATTTTGACTGAGCCCTGCATACAGATATGCCATCCTGCACACGTTTCTCCTCCCTGTGCCAGTCCCCCTGGAATTAAACGTTGATCTCTGCAGAAAGTCAGGCTAACGAAAAGTCAACCAGCCACTTACCCCTTATAAATGGAAATTCTTAGATCTGGAAATTTCGACTCATCTCCAGTAACATCGTTCATACCTTCTATTTGATTCTAAAAGCAGCTCATTATGGATCTGATTTTAAAACGAGGAGGGTTCCAAATAGTGGCTGCTCGAAATCCAAACTATCGTTGAAATTGTTAGGTGTTTGACCAATTGTCCAGGGTCATCCAATCTGTCACATTTCTGAATGGAACTGATGAGACGGTAAATCTTGAACAAAGAGTATAATTTTCTTTGACAGCTGAACTAAGTCCTCCTTATTAAGTCAATGATTATTTCTATTTATAGAAACTAACAGTGGCTTTTGAGATGTAGTTTAATGAAATATAAAAATACTACATATTAAACTTTAAGAACAACAAGGATATAAAGTCTATATGTACAGACACCAGAGTTCGAAAAAGTGACTCATTGGCAAATGCTTCTTTTTTAACTCATCTGAAGGGAAAAAGATCTTTTTATAGGAAAGGATATCAGAAACCATTTCAGTAGATGTGTCTGGGAATATCACATTTTATGTCCACCATGCCACTATTCCTTTCCCACTTTTATTCAGGCAAAATTGGGTTAAATGAATGCTAAAGATAGAATGAAGATAGAAAAGAGTGTGCCTTTGCATGTGTAAAAAAATCTCACCACACCACAGCTAGCATGCCCTCTTTCCCACTCCTGTCAGCAGCTCCCCAGGGGCCCTTCCCACATCCCTGCTATTTGAGGAAAAAACACTGTGAAGCCCATGCCTCAGAGCAAGGAGCCTAAACAGCTTTATCTGTACCGGGGAGAGTCCATTGGGGGGTGTTCGATCTAGCCAAATATGGGGCCTATTAGCAATGACTGTTTTAACCCAGATATGAGCAGTGACGATAGTTCCATTCACCCCGCCCCCCTTTTTCTTCTAAGAAAGGCTACACTTGATTCTTAAAGTCAGTCTCGATGAAAATGAAGACCAGAGCAGAGACAGACAGTCAAGAGTTCTATGCAGAGAATGAGGCAGTACCTTCTAGGGGAAGACAAAAAAGAGCTGTGACGAGAGTTAGTTAAACAAAAAGTATAAAGTAAAACCAGGGCCGATGCACATTTGCAAAGTTTAACCCACAAGGGAACTCTGGGAGGCAAGCGCCATCCATGCCTGTGCCAATTAACACCCCAGGCACGTGTCCTGAGCCTTCACGGGCGTTGTGGGGACACAGGCGCAGCAGGTCCTCCAAACAGGTGAGCCCTTGTCATAGCTCTCACTTCACAAGGTATTTCTCTCTGAGCCAAAAATTTACACGGCACTCAAACTACACAGCGAGATGTTAATGATTTTCTTGTGAAAAACAAACCCCAGAGAACAGATCTTTTCTCAGTCTAATCCATGTTTATCTTCCTTTGATCCCGAGCAAGTCTGGGTTCTTTATGGGGCAAATGCCCTTGGCATGCTGAATTAGTCCATCCAGGCATCTTACGTCAGGGTGGACTTGGGTTTGTGTTTTGTTTCCTAAAATAAAATTCCTGCTGTGAAAATGTGTGAGTGAACTGTGTGTTTTTTGGTTATTACCATTATTGCTGTATTTTCTACTAATTCAGTAAATTTTCTATTGGGAACTCCAAACTATCTCAAAGCGTCTTACAACAGTAAGAGCTAACATGTACTGGGCACTTGTCATATGTCTGCCAAGCATTTAAATCTAGTGGATGAATTCTCACAAAAAAACCCCTAAGAAGTATGTTTTACTGTTCTCTCCTTTTCTGCAGCTGGGGAAACTGTGGCTGTGTGTGGCAGAGCCAGGCTTGCTACAGGTGTGTTTTACAAGGGACTTTGCTCCTTGTCACTGCACTATCCCCCTCTTTCTGGCAGAACTCCTATGATTGACTTAGGTAAAAGTTGCCCAAAATATTGATATCAATAATAGAAAACCACTTGACAAAATTTTCAGATTTCTTTTTTTGATTGATGATTTTTATATCAGAGATTTACTTACCTATTTTGTAGATTAGTGCGTTGAAACCATCAAGGACAGAGGAAGAAACGTTATTTATAATAGTCATTGAGAAACTCTCTTCCCCGAAAACGCTCTTCCCCAAAATCACCTGGTAGCATTCCATTGCTCTGAATAAATATCCTCCCCTTATAACTGAATAAATTATCAATATGGCCGGTTTCCAAGTAACTTGAATTATTGGAAAATACACACACACACACAAACACACACACACACACACACAAAATACATTTAATACTTGGGTTCTCATCTTCTTTAAAACTGGTCAAAATAGTTTTTACTTTCTCTCTCTCTCTCTCTCTCTCTCTCTATATATATATATATATATATATATATATATATATATAATTTATTTACATATATATTTATATTAAAAATGTATACATATATTTTTTAGCACTAATACCAAAATAGAAAATACAATAAGAATTGCTTACAGTAACTATACAAAGTATATCATTTTCTCTTGAACAGAGATATCCAGGTTGCTGCTGTCCCCCCCCAGGGCCCCTTGGGCGATGTCCCCAGTAAGGGCAGGAGGCGGAATGCGGAGGCTGCTGGGGCTCTGCCCTTCCTCACCCTGAGCTGGCCCACATTCCAATTCTCTATATTGGGATTACTCGTGACCTTTTCCTTGAAGGATTTCTGCTGCACTTAAGAAAAGAAAATCTGAAACCCACTGTTCTAGAATTTCTCACAATATCCAGTAGATGGCAAACTTTACTGCAAGGAAACAATTTGGCAAACTATATAAATTGGTCTGACAATATCAGTTCCATTTCACGTCCAACAGCTTCTTACCCTGTGTCTAAGTCTCATATTAAACCCCGAAATGAAATTCTCTATGGCCACTTCCCTGGGAGCTAAATTCCAATTATAACTGAACAGTCCTAGAAGGCTTTGTGTGTGTGTCCATTTAAGTCTTATTCTAAAGGTATTGCCACTATGAAAATTGTTTTATTGTCCAGTAAGTGCACATATTGTATAGGTACAATATGACAATATATGCAGATATTTTTAATTTGGGTGCACAAAATTGGAATAATCATAGCCCTAACTTCAGTCTGCTTTTATTTTCTTAGTTGGCTATTTCATCGATTGTTTTTAATAAGGTAGTAAATTGCAGTTCCTTTATGTTTGAAAAATATAATTTTCTTTTGAACAGGCCATCACCTTTGCATGTTTAGTACAGTCATTTGAAGCATCAGTTAATGGGCTTAGGTCCTGGGCCGTATTTCCAAAAGGGCCTGTTAGCGTCCCTCCTTCAGACACGCCCAGGCAGCCACTGGTGGAAATGGTGCCGATGACGCCATCCACCCAGAGGGAACCTAGCTTGCTGGTTAATTATCTAGAACTAGCACTGAAAACATAACTCAAAGTGTACATGTAAAAAAAGTGATGGGGTGTGTGTGACCAGATTACAAATCTACCTATAGTGATTATTATTACTGACAGAATGCCAATACTTCACATGCTGTTGTTCTTTCTTCAGATAACAACCTTCCTTTGCTTGCATTCATTTAAAACCCTATCTCACGTGCCTTTTCTTCAATGAGGCTCTCCCCGGCACACTAGCCGTGGCCCCGTGATTGACCGGCATGGTTTTGTTGTGACATTGTCCCCATTCCTTCCAATAAGTATGTGTCAAGCAACTGCTACGTGACAGGTGATGTTACAGACCCAGGAAATACCCAGAGAGGAGTACTCTCCTTCCTGCATGGAGCTAACATTCTAATAAACAAAACAGAAAACCAACAAACAAACATTCACACGAAGACATGAGAGCACTTGCGATATACGTGTCATAGAAAATAAAACAGCAGGAGTGTAGGAAAGGAGTTCAGAGAAAGCTTTTTCTCAGGAAGTGACATGAACTATTAGAAGCCAGTCATGCATTTGAAAATGTGAGAAGATAGTCAGCACCTGAAAAATATCTAAAGTAAAAAGGTGATTATTTGCCAAGTTTTCCCACAGAGAACAGAAAAATTTTGCTCTCAAGTCAGCCCTCCTGATAACATGTGAACTTCTATGCACAGCACTGGAGGAAAAGTGTTGACTGCCAGAAAGACCCTGTAGAAGATATTTGTAAAAATTATCGTTAATGACAAAATTCATCATTAGAATGCAGACAGCTATGTATGTATGTGTCCCACTAATGAATATGTTTGGGATGGCTTGAGGAGTGGGAAAAAGAATGAGTTCTATAATTTTATCCTCATTTATTTGTAAGCGTCATCAACATTTTTTATTCCCTTGTAGATTTCCTTTGCAAACAAACAAACAAACAAAAAAAAACGACACCAGGTGCCTCTCCAAATCCTGCCAAAACAAGTCAACATGCCACGTTTTGCAAAAGACAATTGCCCTTGTTCAGACACAGCCATTAATTTGGACAAAGACTGTGGGAATGTGACAGATCCTTGCTTCTCCAACCCCTGCCCAGGAAATGCCACTTGTGTGAACATCTCAGGAGACAGGAGCTTTGTATACAAATGTCCTCTTGGGTATCACAGGATGACCTGTGAAACTGCCAGCAGCTCCTGTGGTTCCTGTCACCATGAGAAGGGGGACTTGTCATGAGGACCCTGTGCATCCTGTGTGCATCTGCCCTGCTGGGTTTGCTGGAAGATTCTGTGAGCTGGACCATGACGAGTGTGCTTCCGGCCCTTGCCACAACGGAGCTGTGTGCCGGGATGGACTGATGGCTCCTCCTGAGGGTATCAAGGTGGGCACGGTGACTGGGAAGTAGGTGAATGTGTCTCAGGTCCTTGCAGAAACGAGGCTACGTGCCTCAAGGAGGTCAGAAGATACACTTGTCTTTGTTCCCGAGATTATTCAGGTAAGTGGGATGCCATTGGAATCCCAGATGATATAATTCACTTTCTGTTTCTTTAATGTGACGGAAGCAGAGGTGACGTTGCATCGCCCATCCAATTGCTTAGGGAAATAAATCATTAGATAGAAAGTCTCCTACACTACCAGGTACTGAGCTGAAAGGTTTCTGTACTGTCACCGTTGTTGTTTCAAGTGGAGCCCTACATTATTTAAAACTTAGATTCAGTCTCGAAGCAGTGAGTTCTCTGGGACGCAGATTTCCAGGTCACAGCCGTTCCTCATTCCTCATCAGGGGAGATGCCTTTCATCCCAGCTCAAGTGCGCCCTCTAATGCCCACAGCCTGACATTGCAGCCTGCTGGGAAGGCACGTATCCATGGGTTGGGTACATGTTGGTGGACTCTAGTGCTGGCGTGCTCAACAGAGCAATGACAGCCAGGCTGATGGAGCACGGTACATGAGATAAGTCGTGATCTTACTAAGAAAGAAGCCACTTCTTGCTTAATCTCTTGGAAATAGCAAATAAAAGTAGCGTGCTTCGCAAACATAGCATCTCACAGACTCTGAAACGGGTTACTCCAACTTTCTATATATTTTACTATTGGTTTAGTCCCTGGATGAATTTCTGTGAAAAAATTTTACAGTTAAGATGTTCCTGTTTCTTAGAGAATCAGCCACAGAAGCTACTCACTCTAACAGTATTCAGTTTACTGTTGCTGTTTATTGTTACATAGAGTTATAGTGACAAGGCGCCATGCTTTATATAACACTCGTCATAAAACAAATGTTTCCACACAGAATGGACCACACAGTTCTGGTACTTTTTTGAAGGTCGATTAATTGTATGTATTTAACGGCTATAAGCAAGTGACAATAAACATCCAAATGAAATACGAAAGTTATAGTTAGTTACCCAGATGTTTTATCTATGAAGCCAAGCAGCTGGAAATACAAAAACATCTGGATGACTGACTGCACTTATCACTTTCACTCAGCCAGTTTGGCATCATGCCCACACAGACCAAATCACTTTTGTCTATATGTGTAGCAATGAGTTACCATAAGAATGATGTTAAATAATATTAAGAGTAATACAAGTAAATCTCCCCAAAGTAAATCGTTGCTTGAATTGAAATTGTATCTGGGCTTATACCATATATCAGGACCACTTTGAAGCCAAAGTAGTTGAACTACAACATAAAAATGAAGCTTCAGCACTTAAATAATGGTTTATAATGGTTATGTCTTAAGCATTAGGAAGTAACCTGGGTGTATACCCCCCGAGTATGGATTTTATTTAAATTAAGAAATAAAATTTTAAAAAGTGTTAAAGTGTTAAACCACTGATTTGGCTTTCTATGTTAACACTTTCCAGCAAATACGGACGACTAAAACACCACAGGACATAATCCAATGTCATATAGGCAAAGGCACTGTGGAAAAGTAGACAAAGTGGACAGGAAAACACAGGAATTGCAGAAACACTGTCACGGCACAGGCAAGTCAGTGTGCCTTAAATGTACGGAGATGAAACAAAAGAACACATTTGCAATTACCTCCCTCTGCACCTGCATATGGTAGGTGTTAATAAGCGCCAGTGGCCCTCCGTTCAGAGAGCACAATGGGAATCTACCCACAGAGCACAATGGGAACTGCCCAGAGAGCACTATGGAAAACCATGTTGACCGAATATTCCTGGGTGAGCATAGTTCACTCTCCTTAAAGCCATGATTGACCAGTGCCATTTTAAGGAAGGCAATTTTGTACCTCACAAGTACTGAGTCCTAACAGGTTATAGTTTTAGTTGCTATATATGTTAAAAAAATAATTGTATGAAAAAAAATTTTAAAGCATTTATCATTTCTGTTTTTCATACCTTCTTGGAAAAGTGAAAGAGGAATCTATTATTGTATTATTTCACATGGCTAAAGTAAAGATGTTAAAACAATGCTGAAAAAGCCATTTCAGAGATATGAGCAGGTATTCCACCAGCCAGTTGCAGGGCTCTTTCCCATGACGTCACCGAGGTGAATTCTTCACAGACAGGGTTAGAAACAGGCCTCAAATGGCAAAGCCGTTTACCTGGGAGCAAATAGTATTCTACAACGTACCATTTTTATTGATATGAAACTTAATTTTTAATTCTTCTTCTCAAAGAACAATCAAATTTAATACACTGGCATCCCTTTTAATGTACATATTTGTAGCATCTAGTCACAGTTGTAAATGGCAGGTGAAGTTACACTATCCTACTGCATTTTCTATCTGGAAATGGGGCAAAATCAATCAAACTACTAACAACTGATGAAAATCCCTCAATACCATTTTAAAACATAATTTATTATTCTGGGTTATAGGCACAGAAATAAAGATGGTTAAATGTAGATATCCCCTCTTTTGTGTCTTTTATAACCTGTATGCAAATGTGATTATTGTGTATCAGATAATATTTTGACAGATTTAGTAGGGTAGTTTGTTTTTGTTTTTTGTTTTTTGTTTTTTTTTTTTAGGGTAGTTTGTTATCTCAGGGTGACTGCTTTTATAAATCTTAAACTTATTTTGCTCAGTAAATAACCTTCATCTACTATTTTTTTTGGGGGGTAGGTATAGATTTTTAAAATGTAGCAATACCTTTAAATGAAGAACCTTCTAAGAATACCACTAATTACATTAAATTTAAGTCACAAACTGATTATCTATTTAAAAGTAGTATTTTACAACACTACGAAAGATTTGGACTTACAAATGCCTATGTAAAACCTTTTAGCACTTAGGGAAATAAGTGCACATCATATTTGTACAAGAAATGTTTGTACAAAGAGCAAGTATTGTTTTTGTTCTTTAGCAAACACTTCGTATGGACCCGGTACTGTGATAAGCCCTTTGGGACAGATTGTATTTATAAGAATAACCCTATGAGGTTATGGCAACTATTGGTTCTGTTTTTCGGGTGAGGAAAAAGAGATATGGAAAGGTTAAGGAACTCGCCCAAAGTCATACAGTTAATAAATGACCATGCCAAGATCCCAGCCCAGGCCGTTGGTTTGCAGTCTGAGTTTTTACCCACTGCTCTATATGACGCATAACTAAACTGTTCAAAAATAATTGAACAACATTGACCAGTCCCTTTCAGGCTTCCAACCAAACAGTTACCAATAACTTTGTTCTAAAAATGACTTGTTTCCACCGACTTCAAAGCTACAAGCTGTTGCATGCCATAGCTGTTTGTCACAGCTTCTCTGTGCCACCCTTGACACACATGCCAAAAAGTTAATATCATTACAATAAAAGAGGAAAATTATTTTGGGTAACGTAACACTTGACAAGAGCTTTGGCAAACAAAGCATTGCCAAAGAGCTAACATATTAACACTTTGTTAAAACTTTTCTTCTGTGCTGACTTTTTGAAAAGGTGTAAACTGTGTGTTGGAAGTTGGTGAATGCTGGTCCCAGCCCTGCCTAAATGGTGCAATGTGTCAGGATGCTCTGGAGGGGTGTTTCTGTGACCGTGCCCACGGGTTCCTAGGGGAGCGCTGTGACGTCAACACTGATGAGTGTGCAGTGAGCCATGTCTGCATGGGGTCTGTGCATGGATGGAGGGCGACAGGTATGTCTTCGCCTGTGTTTGGGTGACTGGCTTAGAGAGAACTCGTTGACCAGAGCTAGTATTGTGGATGGATTTGGAGAGCTCACATCCTTAACTTAAAATTTTCACATTGCTTCATGTTTTGACAAAAAGTTGTAACATTAATATTTTACTGAAAAATGCACTCTTTGTTGGTCATCTGTCCTAAGAGTGAGGATTTTCCAAATCACTGTTGTAATAGTTCGGAGCTGCTAACATTACTGAAAATAGCCAGCTTTTCAATTCCATGAAATAAGCCTGTTGTCGATAGGAAAGGTGCAAAAGTAAAGCTAGAGGTTATTCTACATGTGACTATAAGGTCGTATTTATTTAACAAGCATAGAAATCAAGTGGTGAAAAATCAATCCTTTAGGAATTTTACATAAACAGTGTTATTAAATTAATTTAAAGTAAGAGAACGTAAGTCACTATTCATATAATGAGGGCTTTTCCTGCTTTTTCGTAATTTATTGTTTCATTTTTCAAAAGGGACCTTATTAATGGGCTCTCCAAAGAGTGACACAATGGTATAAGTCATTCTCCACTACCTTCACAAATGTTAACAACTCTATTTGTATTATTTAGTAGTAATTTAATCAGTATTTCTGAGGCTTGGCATCCTGTGTCTGTTCCTTCTATGCACATTTAATTACCACAATAGCCCAATGACAGAGATATTGTTATCTTCAATTTATGGTTGAGGAAACTAAAGTAAACAGGCATGATTTTCAAATAATTCTGCAGAAAAAATTAAAATACCAAAGCTGTATTTTAAAAGATCAACTGGTATTAATATGGAAAAGCATAATGCCTTCATGCTTATAGAGATAATTCCCCAGTATTTTTTGAGATAAATATTAAAAACATGCCACAGGTCTCAGGTTGATGGACAGCTGAAGAGACAGAATAAAGATATTTGCTCTCAATATGCCCAGGAGTTGATGTGATCATTTCATTTTACTCTCCAAATACAGCTGTAACTGCATGGGGAGTGGGTTTACAGGGACACACTGTGAGACCTTGATGCCTCTGTGTTGGTCAAAACCCTGTCACAATAATGCTACATGTGAGTACAATGTTGACAGTTACACTTGTCACTGCTGGCCTGGTAAGTGACAAAATATCTTGGACCATTTTTTTTTTTTTACTTAGAATAGAAACAAATCACTTACAGCAAACTGAAACTAAAAATTCATATTGTTAAAGGTTTAAAACCAAATCATTCTTCTAGTTAGCATTGTCTAATACGATTGTATTCTTCAGTGCCCACACACACCTGCTGCTACACTATGCATTGTCTAAAGTAGGTTACCAAGCTGCCCACGCATCAGAACCTTCTAGAAGAAACAGGGGTGGGGGGAATCAATGGAACGATCAATTTCAGCATGATCTTCATGGAAAAAGAAAATCACTAAAAGAAGCTTCCTTTTCCTCCAAGATGTGTTTTTTTTTGACACCTAGAATATATTGAAACCCATGAAACAATATTGAAATCCTAGGAGCCTGTATTATAATTCATGGAGTCGGTCAACATGATTATGATGGTCCCACAGAGGGTGGAGAATGATATTCCAGAAAAAGGAGTATTCCCCTAAGCATTTATAATGTAAAGTAGAATACAAGTTAAACACACATAAGCCATAACTAGAAATTACACATAAAGGGTAATTAGACTTGAATGTAGTGGTGACACCAGAATCAACAGAAAACAGTCCATAACACCTTGAGTCATCAGGTTACCTGTAAATATTGATGTTAATTTTTGGCAAACAACCTGCTTGACCTAATTTTAACCTAATTCTCACTGGGACTGCAGTGATAGAAATGAAAGAGCATTGCACCTCTCTTCTTTCTTGGTCCACCAGAAAAAAATGATAAAAAACTTGTGTTTATTTAATTTCTAGTTGTTATAAGCTTACTGGTCACATCTCCGTCTCCCCATTCATTTTACTGTCTAAGGAAAGGATAATCCTGTGGTCGGGGATCTAATATCTCATTGCTCAAGGGATATTTAGCATATTTTGGTTAAATATATTTTGTAGGTACAAAAAAAAACCAGACATGAAAGTGTACAAGGAAGTTTGGAAGCTTCTTCTGTGGCTCAGAAATCTATGTACGTTATGTGCCTTCCCACTTCAGATAATTAATAGGGCATGTCTCTTATCCTTTGGTCATTGACTTAAATTCTGAAATTTTTCCAAAACCTGTTGTTCCACATCCTACCAACCAACACTCACTCAACACCCTGGACAGGACAGCCTCTAATTAGGGTGAGTTACCTCTTAATTCTTAAGTTCTTCATCTGCAAGCGAGAGATTAAAAAGCAAAAAAACCAAAAAAAAACTACTTGTAGTAGTGGTGTTGTGGGAGTAAAATCATAAAAATAGAGCCTGGCATTTCTCAGGTCCTCAATTGAGGCCACTGCTACTACATATTAACTTCTATAGCAGGATGGGGAACTACATGAGAGATGGTTTGTCATGGAGTCAGGCCGTGAAGAAGACCTGCCTAAAAATAGACAGACCAGGACATGTTTCATTCATTCGTGGATTCAGTCATACAAGCCACATGCATTCCAGGGCCAGCTGTAGATACCAGGGACCTAGGGATCAAGAAGACACAGCCCCTTCTTCCAAGGAGCTTAAGTTCTAACAGGGAGAAAGTGGGAAAAAATGTGTCTGGCACAATAAAAAGTCATAATAAGTTTTATAGAAGGGAATGAGGGGAGAAATACAGGGATGGCTTGACCGAGGAGGCACCATTTTAGAAAACTGGAAAGATCCCTCAGTATATCCCAGAAACGTATTCAGAAGTTGTGTGACTTTGGACAAGTCATTTTACTGCTCTGAGCCTCAGTTGCCTCCTTTATAAAGCACAGGTGATGATAATTATGTCTACCTCATAGAGTTGTTTTGAAGCTAAATCCAGTAATAGATACAAAGCTCCTAGCTCAGTCTAGACCATGTGAACACTGAAAAAAATAAAAAAAAATACTGACTAGATGCCCACGTTAGGAGACTGGCCATTCTAGGCCTTGTGGCTAAGACATAGAAGCCCATCACGGATTCAAGGAAAGGTGAGAGGAAGGAAAGGTAGAAGGAAGAAAGGGCGGTGGGCACATGTGGCGAAGAACATGCAGTCGTGGAACTCAGAGTGTTCAGACATGTTGGACTCCACAGGGCTAGTGGCGGAGAGAGGGGGCTGGGAGCAGACGAGGCAGCCGCCAGCTCACCATGCTGCTTGTCTGCCCCACCAGCTCTGGGACAGGGAGGTGACATATAGGACCTGTTCATTGAAAAAGAACTCGCGGGCACTTTAGTGGAAGATGATTGAGAGGAGTAAACCTAAAGGACAGGAATCTAGAGAAAGCGTTCTCGTTCATTTGAACAAGAGAGAAGTCGATTTGCCAGGACGAAGACGACAGTGGCAAGGGGGCTGCTCAGGCAACGGGGAACACGAGATTCATTTAGGACGTGGACATGATGTGGGCCATTTAAGAAAGGGGCACGGATTTAATACAGTTCTGCTTCCGACTTTCTTTCTTGGGTGACTGGATGGATGGTGATTTGGCCTACAAAGAAAATTCAGAATGTCTTCGTACCCTATGCTCACTGCTATACGTAAAGAGAAGATTTAATGCTGTAAACTATTCTATGTCTAAGAAAAGAGCATTTCTAAATCACAAGACCACTGCCATTGAACACACAGCAAGAATCCACTGCGATAATTGCGTAGGGTCCTCATTTCCAAAGTAATTAATTACGAGAAGTGTCAGTCACCTTAAATGCTTATCTTAAAAGTGTTCCTGTTCCCCAGATAAGATTGGATTTGTTTAAAAAAAATCCAAAAAACTAAGAACCCTGGGGATTGACTCAGTATCATATTGTTTCTTTGTACAAAGTTTTACAGAAAAACTTGTCAAAACTATTGAATAGAGCCTTGACTGAAAGAGCCTATTTATACACACAGTTAAAGGGCGCAGCAAACAAATTCCCCATGGGGTCTGAGTGGTGGGACAGGACCAGCAAGACTATAAATCAGAACAATCAGAGTAAGACAATGCATGAACCAGAAAGCCAAAAAGGATTCAGGAGGCTCTAAATGACTTCCTCACCAGCCTGTGTGTGTGTCTTGAGACTGAGAAGAAAAATTGAAAATAGCCGGAGCTTTCTTCCATAAGTCTGCTGGAGCACAACAAATGCCAGTTTATAAAAAGTTGTTGTGAAACCATTATCTAGTGAGTATTTGTACTCATACATCCTTAAGTATGAATTAAAAGTATTCCAAAAGTAGACATGCAGGTTTAAGAGACGGACGGTTCCTGGTGGGAGGGTCATCACCAAGAATTGTGGGATCTTGATCTCACAAGCGCTTTTAGTTTCCATTTTCAACTGTATGTTTCTTCTTTCGATGGTTGAGAAAGACCCCAAGGGTTACATGCAACAAATGTGTCATACTGATGAGCAGCAGAATTTATGTGGTTGTTATAACTTAACATATGACCCTATTCGGGTTTTTATTAAAATTACAGAATGAGCCATTATAGCATCTTCGCATTATTTGCTGATTAACAGTTGGTCCTCTAGTTTATTTGCCAAACTAGGATTATAACCTAAATGGTTGATGAATACTATTTGAATCTCATTCAGTCCTTGATGGAAGTTAAAATGCTCAGATTTACCCCAGGTTATCCTGATGTCCCCTTGTATTTCAAGCCCTATTAATCACATATTTATAGGCAATGTTAGTCGATACTGTCCATACAAGTGATTCCGCAGCTACTGCTATTTATGTCCACAGAAGCTTCACTCCTGCCAAGTTCCCCTTCCAGCTTCTTGAGGGTGGCACAGTCTCTCGTCACTTGGTGCCTGCATGGTGGCCAGCCTTCTTGCTGCCATCGCTCCAGGGTTGAGGAGCGTGGACTCAGCAGCTCCATGAACTTCTATCCTGCAGGGTACACAGGAGCCCAGTGTGAGACCATCAACGAATGCAAGAGGGACCCCTGCCAGTCCGGTGGGGAGCGTGGAGCTGTCCTCAGAGAAACAATGTGAACGCCTGGCTGGGCCACCTTCCTCACTCAGCACCCCTGCAGCTTCCAGTTACGTTTGCCTGGTCGTCCTGGATTCACAGGTGAGGCAGGAAGGGGACAGGACTTTCTAGCATTTTATGGCAGATCAGGCATTTAACCAAATGGTATATTAGCAGTAAATCCGCGCTGTATAAAGTCTGTTGCTACGGTGCAAAGGGTCCCCCTTGTGGGTATGAAAAGTCTTGTTTCAAAAACCATAATCCCTGAAATCATGAAGAAAATGTTAAAAATAGGAATAGAAGAGGTATATGAAGGGGGAGAGATTTTTATATGTTATACTGGCAATTGGAGCCCAACTCAAATTCTTCATCTTATAAACTTTCTAGAATATGTTGGAATTTTTATGTGATTAAATATTATAGTGATGTTAGATTTTTGTGACTCAAATTTGCTTTTAAAGAGTTCATGTATTTATTTATATTTACACTGAGAACAATCATCTAGTTTCAAGCAATCTCCCTCAACTATCCTACAGCTGAAGTTGTCCCAGTACATCAAGCTTAAAGGATTCATTTTCTACAGCATTCTTACTCTAAAACCCAGAAGAAATTTTCATGTTATGTTTTCCAATGATTATTGGTGTTTATGTCTGCTTCTATGTTGTGAAAATTTTCAGAAGTTTGGAGACTGTGGTCAAATTTGGTCATGAGCAGGAATTTACCTAAATTGCCTCGATGCCACGGAACAAAAAAAACTAATTACAATTCAAATTTGTATTTTATTTCTTTCTCAATAGATTGAGAAAAATATTTCAGTTGCCACTGGGGATTTCTGAGGAAAGTAAATTAGAAAAAAAGAAAAAAAGTAGTGTCTGTTGATACTTAGTACTCCCTTTTTTAATGTATCCGTTTTGAAGTTTAATGATCTCGGATTCATGGTAACGTTTACTGTAAGATTGCTATTAGAAGATGTTATTTCCTTCTGCTGTACTCTCTTTGAGAACACAGAGGAGAAAGGCCTCTCCAGTATCAATGTCAGGATAAGCAGTATTTTTCCTGAAAAACTTCTAGCTTGCATGCTTTTTCCCTTAATAAAATGCATGCAAATAAATCTTTATAAATGATAAAGGGCTTGAAATAAATCTTGGAATACATCGTATTTTCCAGCCATGTAGGCTGCTAGAAATCTGTAGGTAAGCTTGGGTTCCACTAGCATACAGCTTTTTCTGAAACATATTTATGTATTTACCTCACCCCTGGGATTATTTAAATTTCCTCTTTCTGTTTCTTATGGTTGCCTCCTTTTAAAATTTCTTTCTAAATTATGTGATCTTGGTAGAGTGTATGCATTTTTGTCAGCAACTTTAAATCCTTCTTGGAACAAGGTTGGGGAGGACTATAATTTTTTTTTTAATATTGGATTTAGGGTCATAAAGAAGAGATTCTATCGAAGTCCGAGGCCATTGCTAATATTGCCTCATTGGATAAAAGGATATGGTTGAACAATGAATCTGGAAATCCTAACAGGAAGGGCAGTGGAATGTCCCATAAAAGTGTATTGGACTGGATTTCTAAAGACCTGCCAAGAATGACTATATCAGTTTAGAAGTCCTGGCTGCCCGAAATCTTCACGTGTAATGAAATACTTTATTTTTTTCACCCACGTGAATTCCAAAAATGGGTTATCATGATCACCTGTCCTCCAAATGCTGACTCAGGGTCACAGGCTCCTCCCCCCCCCCCATTTTTTTTTTCATCTTCAAAATATGGCTTTGTTTTTTTGGAGTGATTGTAAATAGTATTGTATTTTTTAATTTCAGTTCCTACATATTCATTATTGGTATATAAAAATGTAATTGATTTGTGTACTGATGTTGTACCCTGAGAACTTGTTGAATTCATCTGCTAGATCTAGGAGTTTATTCCATGGGATTTGCCCCATAGATGATTCTGTGATCTGCAAACAGGACAGTGTTATTTCTGGCAGAGGTTATATAAAATTAGTGTTGATTCTTCTTTAAATATTTTGGAAGAATTTTCCAGTGAGAAACTACATGCACAATGCCTAGAAGAGGTCCTGGTACAGAAAAATCTCAGAGTAGGCACTTTCCACCATCACAGGTCTCCACTAGGGCCAGGGACTATGGGCTCCTGATTTTCTTTCTGATCCCTGGCGCAGACTTGGTAACCAATCAAATATGGGATAAATGAAGGATTTGTATTGTCTCTCTTTTCGTTTTTTACAGCTTTATCAATTTCACTGATTGGTTTTTCGAAGGACCACCTTTTTATTTCATTAATTTACCTGTTGTTTTCTGTTTTCAATTTCATTGATTTCTGTTCATTACTATATCCTTCTTTTTGGTTGCTTTGAGTTTATTTTGTTCTTATTTTTTCTAGATTTTTGTTGTTGTTAATAAACAACAGAAATTTATTTCTTACAGTCTTGGAGGCTGGAAGTCAGGGTACCAGCATGGCTCTTTCTCTGGGAAAGTCTTTATCATTCATTCTTTCCTAAAAGATGGTTTGTTGAAACTAGAATCCATGATAGACAGTTCTTTACTTTCAGCATCTAAAAACTCCACCCAACTGCCGTTTGCACTCCTTGGTTTTAAATGAGAAATCTGCTGTCATTGCATTGGTGTTCCCATGTAGCTAAGGCATCATTTTGCTAGCTGACTGCAGAGAGAAAATAGGGTAGTGATAATACCTTCAACTTTGTCTTTAGTTCTCAGAAGTTTATTTATTATGCGTCTTGGTATCAATTTATTTATTTATTTATTTATTCATTTATTTATTTTATTTTATTTTTTCCCCTTTTGGGCTTCATTCAGCTTTTCAAATCTGTGGGTTAATGACTTTTGCCAAATTTGGAAAGTCTTGATCCGATTTTTCTTTAATGCTTGCTCAGCCCTGCTTTCTTTTTCTACTTTTGGGACTCTGATAACACAAACTATGGGCCTTTGGCTATTTATTTTTCTGCAGGTGCCTGAGGCTCTGTTCATTTTTTTTTCCCCAGTCTAGTTTCTCTCTTGCTTAGATTGGGTAAATTCCACTTATCTGTCCTCAGATTTGCTGATTCTATCCTCTTTCATTTCCTCTGTACTACAGAGCCCACCCAGGTAACTGTTATTTTTCCTGTTGTATTTTTCACTTCTATGATCGCCATTTTATTTTTTTGTAACATCTATTCTTTCCTGATATTTTCTAAATTTTTTTGTTCATATCGAGAGAATTTATAATTGTTTATGAAATCACTTTTGTGGTGATTACTTTGAAAACCTTGTTAGAGAATTCCAACTTCTGATTCAATTCAGTGTTGACATGAGTTCATTTTTTTTTTTCTCATTCAAGTTGTGTTTTTCCTGATTCTTGGTATGATGGGTGATTTTAAGTTGTATCCTGGACATTTTGGATATTATGTTAGGAGACTTTCAGTCCTAATTTTTTTTTTTTTTTAGCGGATAATTACCTGTTTAGGTTTGGCAAACATCTTCAGGCCTACTGCTGTGAGATGTAGGGCCAATGACCAGTTAGTTTTCAGAGTCGTTGCAGTGTTATTTTGGTATATTTTATCTGGTGCTATAGGGTCTCCCACTTATGATGGTAGAGATGGCACATTTTACTTTTTACAAGCTATCACTTGTCAGATTAAAATAAAATGTCCATCATGGTAAAAACAATAATTGTGTATCACATGTTTAATGATACAGCTCCCTTTACAGAAACCATTAGAGTTGTTAAACATAGCTACAAATTATTTCCTGTTTTTTATTATAATTCAGGCTGTGTTCATTACTCTTTACAGTGTGGATAGTTACTTTCCATATTGAAAATGGTTGCATATCGTATGTAGCTTAATTTTTCTAACTTTTTTTTTTTTGATTTTTATTGGGAAATTGGGGGGATGAGAACAGTGCTGGGGAATTGGGGAAAGGGGAACAGACAAGTTGCTGTCGTTTTGTTCTTCAGTCTAGTTGTGGAGGACGTTGCTTCACTGGCCCAAGTTGGCACCATCATTGCGCTCTTCTCTGGCGAGGCAGATCAGTCGCCGGCTTCTGGACGGCCGCTCACTGCGGCTGCTGGCCGCTCACGCTGGCTGCTGGCCACACACGGTAGCCCATGGCAATCCACTGCCACAGGGACTGCAGCCCACGCCGTCGCCGGCGACTCATGGCAGCCCAGCTCCAGGTTGAGCTGTTGTTCAGCATCTTAGCTGTGGAGGGCAGTGTCACTGGCCCTCATATGTGGGATCCGAACCGGGGCCCTCTGGCATCCCAAGCGAGTTCTTAACCATCGCGCCACTCGGCCGGCCCTAATTTTTCTAACTTTTGATCATCAAAAGTGAAATAGACCAGAACAGAAATTAGCTGAGAATCAGAAATCAACGCTCAAGAAGACAGGGATAGAGCTTGCATTGTGGAAAGTGAGAAATGGTAGGAACACAAGCACACGAGGCAGAGAATGCTGCTGAGAGGAACCCACCTCCGAGGGAGAACTAGCTTTCACGGGGGCTTCTCCTGGGATTTCCAGCAAGCAAAGCCGGCACCTTGGCCCAGAGAAACCAGTCTCATTTAATGAAATAATTGAGACAAGTCTGAATATTCATTTAGGTATTGTAATGATTAGAGTTGACCCTTGGAGACTTACGTGTTCAGATGCAATCATGGTTACCATTGTCTAATTCCTCAAAATCATTAAACATTTTTCTGTGGCAAAATATCCCCACAAACTGCCATGACACTTTTGTGCCCACTGCTGCCACACTCAGTGTGAAATTAGTATGGTGCACAAACATTCGATTGAAAGGCTTATGCGTTTACTTAAGCCCACATATTCACATAACTTTTAATTGTAAGCTAAATAAATCTGTAATGGGAGACGGCCTATAGCTGAATAACACTGCTCAGTTCATTCCAAAATCAGCAAATTATCTTTATTTTGTGCGACCATCCTTGACCGTTACTGGAAAGAATGTTGGCTGCTTCTTTCTATTATGTTTTAGCTGTCCAGTGCGGGCCACTCGACTCAGCTTTAGGGATATAATGATGAAAATACATGGTCTCTTCCCAGGGGCAACTGAAAGAATGTGAGGAAAAAAG